GATGCATATACATGTACATGCTCTTATGCTGTGCAGAAAGTTTGTATTTATTCCAAACAAAATTAATTTTTTTAATTGTGGTAAAGCCTGATTAATCTTACCATGAGCACAAGCTTTTCAAAGTAGACGAGGGAATGAGCAATAATTACAGGGTCAAACCCACACTAAATGAAGGAAAGAGATTACTATTAATCATTAGTACTCAATGCCACAGACCTCAGTTCCAACTGATATCATTTCTTTTTTAATACTAAAAACAAAGAAAAGCTATTATTATTATCATTATTATGATTGCTCTATACCTTCTTAGCTTTGATAGAGTTAGTTTGATATATGGGAATATCTCTGCAAATTGATTATTAATCTCTTTCTTCACCTCTCTCTCCCTGGCATATTTAACCAGTGACACTCTATAGCTAGCGAGATTAAGAGTCGTAACATTGCGTCCTTTGAAATACTCCGGATTGTCGAGGGACCGTGGGTCATAATTGAGATTAACATATTGAGACGAGTGGTTCTCTTTGAAGGACTGAGGAGCATAAGGTCTTGAAGGCACTCCAGTTGTGGTAGCATTGTCTCCAACGTCCCTCAGTGAAGACTGGTGAATCAGGACAGGGGCTTTCTTTGCTGACCTGCATGGGTACCAAATACAATTTGTAATGGATATAGTGTTAGCTGATTAAAATTTTGATTAACAAAGATCTGAAGGGAACATGCCCAACTATAAATAATAATTATATTCTATGGTTTTTGCTTTAAATGATTGCTATTTTGTCATACTATCCAGTATCCACACATTTAATCACAGTATAATACCCACACATTTAATCACAGCACTCAGTACCTGTTCAGTGCAGTTTGTTTAGACTGATCAATATGTGGCTCTAATCTCCACACTGGTTCTAACAATGAAGATAAGGATACTTCCTACATGAATTATAAGCCATTAGAATAATAAGAGATGTATCCTCACTTTGGTGGGGTCCCCCAAGTCTACCCCATCCAGTTCCAGCTGTACACTAATACTACTCGTACGAGCCCTCCCTGTCAGCACTGTATCAGCTCTATTAAAATTACAATAACAATAATAATAATAATTTCTTTATTTTCCTTGTCTTACCTTGAAGGTTTAGAATATGGCACAAGTGAATATAATACAACAGGATATCCATTATATACAAACCCTAACCTGCATGAAAAGTACATAAATACAGCACATATTGCAATATTTAACAAAGCCCCATCTTTTTCATTCTCTCTCTCTCTCGTACCTCCTGTCTTCAGGTTCCATACTGAAGGACCTCAAAGTCTTCACAGACTGATGCACAGCGCCACTCCCATAAGATAGCTTCTTAACGTGTGAAAAAGAGGAGGAGCCTTGAATCTTCTTGTTCTTTCGACTACGCCGTGGTGAGTCAGCTGATCCTACATCCCGAGTGAACTGTAGGCCTGAGGAGTTAGCTGTAACACTAATAGGCTGAGTGGCCAGTGGTGAGAGTAATTCTGTGATGGAGGAGAGTTTTAATGGAACTGGTGGCTCTTTGGGCGGTTCAGACTCTTTCCTTTCATCGGTCTCTTCTTTCTGTTCTAGCTCTGAGTCTAGTGGTATGGAGAGAAAGAAAGCTTTGGCTGCTTCTCGTCTTGTATCGCGTCTCTCTTCAGAGCTGTATCCCAGACTGTATATCTTCTCTCGTCTCCTACGACAGAGGCTGCTGTGAGATGAAGGAGGAGGGAGTGATGGGGTGAGCTCCTCTAGTCGCCTTTCCTCTTGTTCAAGGTCCAAGGAAGAAGCAGAAGTGATATAAACATCTTCAGTGGATGACGCCATCTTTATAATCCGCCTAGCTGGTTACCCCTCCCACTCCGCCAGCTGAGTGGGTGGATAATCTAAATTATCTAATATCTATGGAGTTATACATGTATCTCGACATGTATTCACCTTTCTCTTTGTTTTATGTTTCTTGCTGTAGGTAGTGATACTAGCATGGGTAATCCTACACCCTGTTTTGATATACTGCAGTATGTTTCTTTCTCTCGACTATCTAGACACTCCTCTAACTCCCGTCTCACTTACAACTACTCAAGGCTAAATTTGGTTCGGCATTTCTATTTTAATAGGCTTCCTCG